AGTTTTAAAACTATTTCTCTCGTTTCTCTAATAACTTGAAAAGTGTATTAGATATTAAATTGTTATTTATTTAACCTTAAAATATTAATTTCAAGTTTTTGAAAAATATCATATTCAAAACGTTTAAAAAAGCTTCTATTGAAATGATGAGATTCAAATTTATTTACATGTGTTTAAATGATAGTATTAGAATTATCATAATGTATTATTGTAAAATGTATATTTAAAAAGAAAAAGTGTTATTTATTTTCTGAGTAATATAAAATTAGAAGAAAGGTTGTTAATTTTTAATAAATCATGATTTTAGCAAAATCTTAATGTTTTATTTTACATTTTGTTGTATAATATTTACAAAATTTTTTGTTTAATATTTTATTCTTTTTTAATTTACTCTGAAATATCTACACAAAAGATTTAATGAATAAGAAAGGATCAAAAAAATGTTTACGTAACATTATAAAGACAGAAAGATCAATGCACAAAGTAGCCCCATCCCGGGGGGTCTATTTTGTGCACAACTTTTAATGACTACAACTCCGACAAAAAAATTTATTTCATTGACTAACTCATAGGAAACCTTCAGAAGGAAGTATAACATAACCAAAAGTTGATTTTCTTTTAATTCTGAATTTGAATAAATCACTGAGTTAAAAAAGCATTTTGATGCACAAAATAGCCCCACCAAAAATATTTACTATTTACTATCAGCTTGACATAACCAGAGAATTTTATTTTCATAACATTATAAAATTAGCGCATAAAACTAATTTCAGAAAAGTATTCACAAATGAAAGCGTTACGATCAACAGTAATACTGTGCTTCTGCATGGTTGACATAAAGACATTTTAAATTAAGCACCAAAAGTAAAGGCGTGTTTTTTGAATATTAAGGTATTTTTTAATAAGTCAACGGTTGCCGAAGCACTGAAATATAAAAGGACACAACTATGTCTGTCCTCTTCTATAATATATGTTATTGTAGCAACTGTTGATCCATGAATTTGCACCTTTACACTGTACGCCACAGGCGCCATGGAGCTGATATTTTATGTGACACGACGGAGCTGAAATTTGACATTTAAACTAACCTAACTCCGACAACTTTGCAAAATAATTCTTTTCTTTGGGCAGATAGTTTGTTTCTATTGTAATCTTCAAAAAAATCTTAATAATTACAACAGAGAGTGTTAAGATTAAAAGAATAGTTATACCACGGTACTGATCACGTTTTTTGTGACCTTCACATTTTTACAAAAAAAAATTGTTTTTGAGTGTAGAACTTCCAATTTTTGAACCTTTTTTTACTGATATTTGTTGCTAATGGATCTTATTTTAGATTGTAATTCTCAGATAACATTAAAATGTGCCATAAACAGTTAAATTATAGGGAAAAAAATCTTATTACAAAATTGAAAAAATTTGTGAACAAAACTATTTTACATTTTTTTTTTATTTTTTTTATTGTTTATACTCCTGCCCTATTGGCCTTACGCACTTCGACAAGAGTCCCCGAGAAATACTTTTTGGATTAAGCATAACCATTCTACTTATAAAATTTTCTATATATTAACCTAATTTGCGTCTACAGCAGACTTTTATTAGGAGTACTCGCATTCCGCCTGGACCACCCGTCAATGGGTTTTCTCGCCAGAGAAGAGGGAAAACTGTAGAAAACCTCTCCTGAGTACAACCGGTTTATCGACAGTCGAGTTCTAATGGTGTGTACCGGACAATAATCGACGGTGCACATCATTATACCTCGACGTCAAACCTCCCGCTCAGATTTTCTCACGTGCCGGAAAAATACCAAGCCAAATGGGCGCGAACCAAGGGTACTTATACCCTTGGTCCTTAAACGACCGCCAAGCGAGGCATCTATCCGACTGAGCTAATCTGTCGGTAACTATTTTACATTTTATAATTTTATAAGAAGTATTAGAAGATGCATTATATGTACAAATTGTTCACCTATATACATAATTCATATTACAAAAATTCTCGTTTCCAGTTTCGGCGTTTTCAATAAAATTTCTGAATTTTAACTTAAAATTTTAAAAAACGGACACGCCACGGAGCTGAAATTTTGGAGGGAATTCCGCAATTTATCAAAAATTATAATATCTATTTGTACATATTTGTGGTTGCGAATAGGTTCGGGGTGAAAATATAATTAATAATCAAGAAGATTGTTTTAATAGACAAAAAATCGCCGCTGAAAAAATGGTTAGCTTCTCCGAAAAACAATTTCCTCCATTAACAATCGGTACTTGCGTAACTTTGGTGGTACCTAATGTTGATCGTGGCCCGTTAGATTTTTCTACGATTGTAGGCGTCGTAATAGACGTTAAAAATGACGTTTACCAAATTGGTACTAAAGACGGCATCATTAAAGGTTGGTTTCCGCGAACTGATATATCGCAATCAGGTACTGCAATTTTAAAAATTGACGAAGTTTGTACTGATGTCACTCTAACTTTAAGAGAAGCTGCATCATATCAATCTATGTGCGGTAGACAAGGATTTAAAAAATGTAACTGCAAGGCGGCTAAAAATCAATGCAAGACAAATAGGTCCTCTTGCTTTAAATTAAAAATAACTTGCAGTTCGCGATGCCACCAAAGTTTAACTTGCTGCAATAAATAAATTGCTATTTTTTTCTTTTTCAATTGACTTAAATTAATTACAATAATTTATTGCAATTTTGTGAAAAATATTTTTGTCTTTAATTTAAATTTTTTCTATTATATTACTAATTGAAATTTGATTACAATGTTTATTCTTGATCAATCGATACAAATTTTTCTATTCGTCTGGCGCTCTTTGGGCGTTTAGCTTAAAGCCTAGGCATTAAGCTAAATGACTAACAAATTCAGGCGAATAGAAAAATAATTGTCATTTACTTGAACATTTTCCTATTCGCCCGCGTTTAGCTTAAAGCCTAGGCATTAAGCTAAACGACGGATTTTCCTTTTCGCCTACGACACATATATATATATATATATATATATATATATATATATATATATATATATATATATATATATATATATATATCTATCCCTATTAATATAAAATCATATCGCCGCCGCCGCTGTTTCAGAAAGTTTTAAGGGACCCTTATAGTAGGGGGAAACATAGTCAAGGTTGGCCCACTGTCAAGGTAGGTAAAAAACTAACTCTCTGCCCTCAAAATTTAAGTCAATTTTAAGAGTAGTTATGACTTAAAGTTAAAAATTGACAAACTTATCGCTCTGCTTTCAAAATTTAGTTCAATTTTAAGGGCAGTTTTGACCTAAGCGTTAAAAATTGCGTTTACTCTGCCCATAAAATTTATGCCAATTTTAAGGGCAGATTTAACCTACAGGTAAAAAATAGACAAACAATTCCCTCTGCCCTCAAAATGTAGGTCAATTTTAAGGGCATTTTTGACCTAAGCGGAAAAAATTGACGAACAATTCCCTTTGCCCTAAAAAATTAGGTCAATTTTAAGGTCAGTTTTCATCTACACCGCAAAAATTGTCGAAAAAACTTCCTCTGACCTGACCTTTCCTTAAAATTTAGGTCAAATTTGACATATTTTTTAGCCTATACATAAAAAACGCAAATTTATTAGGATTTTTTAAAAAGTCGTACCCTTATATTAAAGTTTGACGGAATTTTCGACCTATTGGTTAAAAGAAGTTTGACCTAAATTTCAATATTAAGCTTTAATCAATAAAAGATGTTATAAATTGACATATTTTTTTTTTAAATTCTGTTAAAATTATTTTTCTGTCCTCAAAATGTACTTTAATTTTAATGGCAGTTTTTTCCTACAAGTTAAAATTTGACTAGAAATCTCCCTCTGATCTGATATTTTCTTAAAATTTAGGTCAATTTTAAGGTCAGTTTTGACCTACGGGTAGAAATGAAGCCCACAAACGTCTATTATTTTACGTCGAAATCTTTAGTCCGTCCATAAATAACGTAAGACATTTAGGGGGGAGGGGGGTCAGCAAGATCTTGCGAACAATAGGAGAAATGGCGCTAATGTATGTAAAATATCTTACGAGGGAGGAAGGTGGTCAAATGTACCCAAAAAATGACTTACGTAATTTATGGACAGCCCCTAATGGCCCTTACATTACGTCAACATTTATGTCAACTGCAGGTAAAAAGGGGCCCACTAATACTTTTGACACTGAGAAAAAAGAATTATCAAATTTACTATGAGGAGTGTCAAACTTGAAAAAGTTGACACTATAGTAATTACTTCCGTAAAGTAGAATTCTCTATTAGTTATCTTTTTTAATATCTCCTGTTATAATTTACTCTAACTCATTACTATGCCATCATATTAAGATAACATGATTTTAAAAATTAAAATAAATATTAAAAATAGTTAGGGGGTTGGCGCGCGAAGCGCGCAGGGGGGCGAAGCCCCCCTAGTATATATATATATATATATATATATATATATATATATATATATATATATATATATATATATATATATATATATATATTGTGACGTATTAATTTTAACTAATTTAATTTTAAGCTAAAAATTCTGCTTACGTCAGGCAAAATCTGACGCTTTCAACCACAATAATTTCAAATTTAAATAAATAAATTTGGCCGTCAGGCGCCAATTAATTTTCAAGAATAATTAATAAGCTTTTACTCGACTAATGACAAACCGACTCCTCCGAATTTACTCTCTCACCCAGAGGAAATTCTGCTCGAACGATTGGCAAGCAGAAAATACCAACGGCGAGACACGACTGGCACAAGACTGTTAAACGACTTACCCACGACGAATCGACTCAAATTATTCCTCCAGTTGGCTTTCCTGGCCTCGTCTCCCTGGTCTCACCGACGTCAAATTTTAATCCGTGAGGGAAGTTTGGGAAAGGAAAACACAAGAACTGTCAACTATTTGTTCACTATAAATCTCAGTATTTATTATTATACAAATTTGCACTTAATGTTCTACTCTCGACACTCGAAAGCTACGGCTCGAAACAACTATTCTCTCAAAACAAAAAGAATGATAAAATTGTATTAGCGGCGAAGCATTTGCGTACCGGCGCGACAAGACAATTTTTCCACAATGGCGGCGAAAACATTTGACACCTGTAGCGTCTCGAATTTCTCCTCACATTGCTCATCTTCTTCTTCTCGTTCTCCGAAAATAGTACTGGCCCCGCCATCTATCACTTTCTCCGGTAACCAGCCACGCGACCCACTTTCGTTACTTCTAGTAGGTCAGCCGGCGGTACTGGCTTTCTCTAATTACCATAATAACTGGGCCTGTTGGTTCGGGGCTTTTTCCGACGGATGGCGCGACGATTCAGAATTTTCGACAGGAATTTACCAAGTGAAAATTTACATCGTCACAAACCCCTCCCCATGACCGGTACTATTTTATATAGGACCGTCATTATTATGATGATCATGGTACTGCTGATGTCTCTCCTACTTTTTTTTTGGCTCTTCCGCTTTATCTGGCTCTCTTACTTTGTCTGGCTATCCCTCTCTCTGGCTCTATTGCTTTCTCTGGCTCTGCTACTCTTTCTGGCTCTTCTACTCTCTCTGGCTCTTCTATTCTTTCGTTAATTCTTTCTTCTGTCTCCTCTCATCCAACAACTGTCGGACTGCCAAGTCAATTGTTGACGCTGGGAGTCCTGCCAACGCTTTCGTTAGTTGGAGGATTTTCTCCACCAAGTCCTCCTCTTCTTCCTCCACTTCGGCGCTTGGTTAGGCACCACTGACTACCTGGTCTACAATTGGTTCTGGCTCGGGAATTTCCATTTCGTTGGTTGGTTCTTCTGCCTCTATCTCTCCTTCGGCTCCATCGTGGTAATCTGACTCTGATGAGATTTCGCTATACGTCTCATTTCTTACTTCCGCTTCCCTGGTCTCCAACACTGGAACGTGATCCTCCATATCGTTCTCCCTATACCACACGATACCTGCGTGACGAAGGTACGCCTCTGCACATCTTGGGCAATTCTTGACGGCGGTGTGCCGGCGCCCGCAATTACTGCAGAATTTGCATGTTACCGGTTTTGGACAATCCACTGCTCGGTGTCCCCGTTGCCAACAGTTGAAGCAACTGTATGGTGGTGGGTCCAGTTCCTCGGACGTTGGGATCTCTTTGAGTCCCCCAAAAATCACACCAGTTTTCCTAGTCCTCCAGGCGTGCTTCTCTTCGGGGTCACTTCTTCTCTCGCTCGTTCCTGGGTATTCCTTCGGTCTGGCGCCAGTCCCTCCTACTCGTCGTACTGGTGGACCTGGATGTGGTGAGTGCGATCTTTGGGCTCGTTTCGCCGGTTCCTGGCTCTCCATGTCCTCTTTCCTAATTACATGTTGTTTGCGTCTTTCTCTTTCTCTACGTTGCTTGGCTCGAATTTCCTCTAGGGCCACTGATGTTAGTGGCTCCAGGTTCTGTACGAACCGTTCCAGTTCAAATTCGGCAAGGCGGCTCTCGTATTCCTCCATGCTTTCTCCTACTTTCCTGTCTGCGGGCCAGCGATAGGGCACCACTACCTCTGCACCATCGGGCCTACCTCCTTTCACGGCTCTTGGTTTCACTAAGTTCTCTAGGCCACTTAGTTCGGCCCAATCATTCGGGTCGGTAACCGGCTCGAATTTCCCTCCAACGGCCCCTTCTTCTTCTCCATTGCCTCTAGCTTTCGGCTCCTCTTCAGGTGAAGTTGTTTGGGCTCTCAACGGCTCTTCTGTCACCCGTTCTATTATGGGGAACGACAAGTATGATGGGCGTTCTCTCACCACATCCCCTGTGTCGAATTCTGGGAACGGTTGATGCCTTGACTGTGGACGTCCACGTCTCTCCATCCTGGCTCTCTCACGCCCTAGTTCCTCGAACTGACGACCACCTCTTTCTCTGGCTCGTCGGCTTCCCGGTGGGGTGTACGGCATGGCTCTTTTCTTCTTCTTTCTCTCGATACTCCTCCTCTCTACTCGGCTCCTCGTTCGATCTAAAACAATATAGTTAATGTACGACAAGAACAAATTTGATTTACAACGGTGGGTTAGGTAAGTATGGTTTCATGTCGGTTATGTGGACTTTAGGTACTCGTCGGCTCTGTTCGTCTCTTAAGATGAAAACAGTTGGCGATAAGACCTGAATGATCTCATATGGACCTTCGTATTTCGGCGCTAATTTAGTCGCGAACTTTTGTGCCCCACTGGACAATTTATGACTTTTTCGCAACACTAAATCTCCTACTTTGAGAGTTACGTCTCTCCTACCTTTATCATAATACTTAGTTTGTCTCGCCCGTTCTTTATCAATGTGTCTGGCTACTATGTCTCTTAACGCGTCTAATCTCTTTATTCGGTCTACCCAATATTCCGGCTCTATCCTAACTACTTCTCTCTTGTTCTCTATTTCTCTTCGCAGGCTCTTTACTGGCTTCGGATGTCTTCCATAGTTCAGAAACGCTGGAGATATTTTCGTTGCTGCTTGGGTGGCTGTGTTCACGGCGTGGCGGAACTCGTGAACGTGCATGTCCCAATTTCTATGATCGACACCAATGAAGGTGGAGATCATCGTTTTAAGAGTCCTGTTGCTTCGTTCGACTGGGTTGGCTTGTGGATGGTAAGGAGGTGTCGTGATATGTTTGACTCCATATTCCTCAAGTACTGACTTGAGAAGTTTGTTGTCAAATTCCTTGCCGTTGTCGGTTAGCAAGTACTCTGGCGTTTCCCATCTAACTAGGACCAACTCCTCGAATGCTCTGGCTACCGACTTACCATCAGCTGACCTCAATGGCTTCACCTCTATCCACCTCGAGAACAAGTCCTGGAACACCACCAAGTACTTACAATGGCTCTTACTTGGTAGAAACTCCATTGTATCTGCGGCTACTACGGCCCACGGCCTCTCGACAATTCTTTGACTTATCAGTCCGACTGGTCCGGCTTGAGATACTTTATGTATTTGGCATTGAAGACAGTGTGTCACATAATTGTGCACATCGTTCCAAATACCTGGCCAGTAGTACTCTCGTGCTATCCGATCATAAGTTTTCTCAATCCCCAAGTGTCCGGCTGATGCTTGGGCATGTCCGTCTTCCATAACTCTCGCTCGATACTCTTCTGGCACAACCAGCTTCCAACCGTCTTCATCTCCGTTTATCGGCAATAGAAGTGGGTCACTTCTGTGATGATATAGGTTTTCGTTCTCGACGATCCACCCTGGAAACCTCTGAGGATGCTGGCTCACCAACTCTCGGCGTTTGAGGTACCACTGATCCTCAATGGATTCAAACGCGGCTACTGACTCTTCTTCGTCTTCTTGAAGCCTGGATAATGCATCAGGGACATGATGTTGTGCACCTCGTCTGTGAACTATGTCGAAGTCCCATTGCTGCATTTCCAAGGCCCATCTGGCTAAACGGCCTGTAGGATCTTTTAGGTTCCTGAGCCATTTTAGGGCACTGTGATCCGTAATCACATGGAATTTGTACCCTTCAATGTATGGCCTGAACTTCTTGATCGACCACAGTAATGACAGACACTCCTTTTCTGTCACACTGTAGTTTCTCTCTGGCTCCGTCAAGACTCGGCTGATGTAAACTATTGGATGTTCTCCGTCTTCAAACTCTTGCGTCAATACGGCTCCGATGGCATAGTTGCTAGCATCACACTGAATGGTGAACTTCGTGAAGTCAGGTCGGGCTAAGACTGGCGCAGATGTCAGCTTCTTTTTAAGCTGTTCAAAAGCTTCTTGTTGCTCTTCTCCCCATTCCCACGTTCGGCCTTTATGTAATAACTTCAGCAATGGTATTTTGATTTCGCTGTCGTTTGGAATAAAACGGGAATACCACCCGACCATGCCCAAGAAACGTCTGAGTTGTCTCACGTTCTTCGGCCCTAGATAGTTTCTCACTGGCTCTGTCTTGTTCGGATCTGGCCTCAAACCCTCTCTGTCTAATAAGTAACCCAGATAAGTTACTTCGGAGCACCCGAACTCACACTTATCTGGATTCACTATCAACTTCGCCTTGTTCAATTTCTCGAGGACGAACTCCAGCCACTTGACATGTTCCTCGAGAGTGTCTGTGACTACTATGATGTCGTCCAGATACCCAAAGACATGCGGCTCTACTTTTGGCCCCAGCAATGCGTCGATTAAGCGTTGGAACGTCATCGGCGCGTTCATGAGTCCAAATGGCATTCGGCGAAACTGCCACAGTCCTGACCCCGGTATGGCAAAAGCAGTATATTTCTTACTCTCCTCGGCCATTGGTATTTGGTGATATGCCAGCTTGAGATCTACCTTCGACAGATATCTGGCTTTTCGGAGTTTATCTAAAATATAATCAATGGATGGCAGTGGATATCCATCTTTGATCGTAACTTTGTTGACGTCTCTGTAGTCATTACACTGTCGAAAGTCGTTCTCTCCTCTTCTCGTTATTACTGGCGCACTCCTCCAACGGCTGGCAGATGGCTCGATAATCCCTAGTTTGTACAGTTTGGCAGCGTTACCTTGGGCCCAAGTTAACATGGCTGGCGACATCCGTCTGATGCCATGTTGTACTGGCGTTTCGTCCGTAACACGTATATGATGTTTCGTCAAGTCTGTCATTCCGTGTTCTTCCGACTCTGGTAATACCCATTTGTCTACTATGGCTTGGATTATGGTCTTCTGCTCGTCGTCAAGCGCAGAAATACCGGCACATTCGGCGAATATTAGTTGTTCGTCCTCTTCTCTCTCTTTTGGCCCAAACTCATGCCATTCTCCTCTAAAAACTCTCCACAGTCCTTCTTTAAGCTTCACTTCCATGTTCCAGGCCTTACAGAAGTCAATGCCCAAGATGATGTCCTGTGTCAAATTCTTCATGACTTTTACTGCGAATTTTTGAGCAAATCCATCGACTACAATGTTAAGGTCCAGAAGTCCGGCTGTTTCGGTGATACCTCCTGTTGCACTCCTCACAACTATACCACACGGCTGAATTCGGCTTTTGAAAGGCTCTGCAACTCTGGTGGTAATCACTGAAATCATAGCACCAGGGTCGAAAAGTGCCTCGTAGTGATGGTGGCCGATAGACATGTCGAAGAAATATCTGTTCTCCGTCCTAGATCCGTCGATGTCCTCCTCATTACTTAGGTTCGGGTCAGCTGTGACTCTCACAGCCTCTCCCCTCCCCTGGACTATAGGTACCGGGATCACATCCGTACCTTTTGTCCCACACTCTTTGGCCATTTTCTCTACTTCGTTTCGGTAGAGTGAGCTCTCCTCACTCGACTGTTCTTGTCTAATTTTTTTTGGCACGAATTTGAACGCCTTGTCCTCTGTCAAGTCGTCCCTACCTATGACTGGCTCTAAACTTTTCTTAACTTTCATTTCTACTTCTAATTCTAATTCTCGCTCAGTTTTTACCCAACTGCAACTAGGCGCGAATTTGTCGCTACACTCGCTATTTCTCTCTACTCTACATGGCTCAAAAATATTGGCTCTCGTCTCTACTATACTCGGCTCATTAAATTCGGCTCTACACCCCTCAACAATATGATTTACTGTCCTGTTGGGATTAAGGGGGGTACAGGGCTGCTCTGTGCCCCCCACACACCGTTTCCCAAAGCGGCTCTGACTGGCACACAATTTGGACAATTTAAAAAATTGCATCCTGGCCTCTTACATACCAAACACGCTTCTGTTTGGGCGGGCTTCAGAGGGCATTGGTTTGAATAATGCCCTTGTTGCTGGCAAGAAAAACAGGTTCTTTGAGGGCAATCTCTGGCTCGATGTCCTGTAGTCTGGCAGTAAAAAAATGCCCCAACGAATTCCTTGGGGGTACTTTGGGCTTGTGTGCCATTTTGCCCCGGCTTGGGTCCTTTAGGGCCATTTGGTCTGGGGTAGTTTGGTTTTAGTCCGGGTGGAATCATTCCTGGATAGACCATTGGGTAGGCAAATTGCATAGGTATTTGTGCTGCTTGGGGTGGCGCAGTACTGGCAACTTGACCCTGGACCAATGCTGGCTTCTGATTCGATGTTGCTGGACTAATGGCCTCAACACTCTTCTCTTCTGGCTTACTCGTTTCTTTCTTGGTCTTCTTACTCTTCTTCTTCTTTTTCTTCGGCTTCTCTGTTTTTGTAGAGTGATCGCTTTCACTCGACTCTGACTCCTTCTCTAGTGCTGCTACCTTTTCACTCTTGGTGTTCTTCTGGCCACTCTTCTTCTCCTTTATGGCTGCTGCTGGGAAACGCATCTTCTCTTTGGGTAGTGGTGGGGCGTATCTTTCGTCTAAATCTTTGGCCTTCTCGTAATCTCTCAAGATTTTCTCCATCTGGCTCAACGATTCAAAATGGAGTCGTTCCAGTTGACGACGGTAGGCTGGTGTCAGGCCTTTATAGGCCAACTTGACCTGTTGTTTCTGGCTCAATGGTCGTCTCATGTGACCCAAAATCAACCGGAAGCTGGTTAAATATGGAGAAATTTTCTCCCCTTTCCCTTGTGTCCTGGCCCGTAGTTCGTCTATAACGTCATCGTCGTCAACTGTCACTAAATACTCATTTTTGAATGCCCTCTTAAATGACCTCCAAGAATTTAATTCGTGGCGCAACGACCTAAACCAACTACTGGCGGTTTTCTGGAGGATGATTGGCAGTGCTTGTAAGATTTCTCGGTCTGAAAAATCTGAGTTGTCCTTACAGTCCTCCAATCGTTCCAGAAATTCCTCGGCATTGTCGTCATCCCCGTAGAATTTTAGGTCCCAGTCCTTCAATGTCTTTATTACTTTGGACCTACGGCCGGGCCTACGCTCTACATTCTCCCCACTGCTACTCAACCTCTGACTTAGATCGCTCTCGACTTCGGACTCACTCTAAGAGTCATCTAAGAACGATCTTCGGCTCTCCCCCACTCTTCTTCCTACTCTACGTTCTTTATCCGCCTTCCTTCGATTTTTCCTGTCCGGTTGGTCATTGTTCTTACTACTACAACTACATCTACTATTTACACGGCCCTCTTCACTACCACTATATTCGATCTGTCTCTCTACTTTGTCTCTTTTACCCCTACTTCGTCTCTCATTGTTTTCGGCTTGACTGACTTCTTGGGGCGGGTGTGGGCCTCACTCTGTCCTCAGTTTGGTGATTGTGTGAGGTCTCGGCTAACAGGGAATTTCTTTGAGGGGACACTAATCTCGATTGCTGGTGGTGAATCAGATGGTGCCCCTCGGCAACCTCGGCCCTACACTGGCTTTGTTGTAATTCCCACCCCCCTCCCGAATACTGGCGGTCCATTTGTTTGGCACACTCCATAATTTTTTTTATTTCAGGTGACAAACCCAAACGCGCGACTGAATCACGCAGGCTCTGTACGACTGGGGCCATCGTGGCCGACTGAATCGTATGGGGTGCTGTCATGACCGTGCTCGTCGTCATACTCAGCTGAGCATTCGATGTAGTGGGGGAAAACGTCGTCATGCTGGCGGTTGTCACGACTGGGGTTGGGGGTGTAAAGTTTGGGGTGGATACAACGCTGGTCGGACTGTGTCTGCTGTACGATGTTTCAACTTTAGTTTTATTTCCCCCACTCCCTGGAGTTTTCCTGGCCCTAATACGTTCGATGACCTGACTTGCCCCACTATCTGATTCTTCGTCATCTGCCGATGACATCTGGCCACCACGACGATAATTCACAAATGGAAATATTTTCATTTCTGGCTCCGGGAATGCTTCCAACAAAAAGATTTTGTCGGAGTTTCCTAAGTCGTACCGATCACAAAATGGCACGTCACTACCGTCATTTAGTGCTAATCTCATTTCCGCTCGTAATAGCCTCTCCTTCAAAACTTGTGACGAACCACTGATACACAATTGGTGTCTCAGTAAGTTCGTCACTATCTGGCCAACTTGCATGGTTTTAATTTTTTCCCATGCTCGGCTTACGCATGGTACTTCAATTAATTCGCTTATGCGTCTCTTGTAGTCCTGCATATCGTCAATTGCATTTGCCAATTCAAAAAAAAAATTTGTAAAGAAAAATTTCTAAGTTTGAAAATTTTTAAATTTTCAGGGGGGTGCACAATTAGTATATACGGCACTGTGCTGTCTTAAAGCAAGGACGTGACTACTCAAGGAGGGCCCCCTTTTAAAATTTTTAAATTTCTGACGGACTGGTGACTCGACACTACCTCTGTCTCTTCTTCTCGTTCTCTCTCTCTCTCTCTGTGTAGCCGCTATTACTACTACTACTAGACTACTCTTTCCTGGCGCGCGCAACTTTCTCTCGGCTGTCGAAATTTTAAATATCCCGGCGCGTCGTTTCTCTCGACCGTCCGGCGCACTATTTCCAGTCACGTGACTAATTCGAATTTTATTTCCGGTCTAACATGTGCTCGGCATAAAATTTTTGGGAAATTTTTGATTTTGCACAAAGTTTTGGGGAATTTTACTCGGATTTTTCTCACAAAAACTGGCTTTCGACTAACAAAAAAAAGAATTTAATTGTTGAATTTAATTATTATCACGGCAGGAAATTTTTATAGTCTCAAAAGAAATGGAAATTTTTCGAATTAAATGGCAAAGGCACTCTACAATTTTAATTTGCACGATTTTTGGCAATAATTTACTCATAAATTATGAATGAATAAATTTGGGCATTAGCAAAATAAATTAATAAACAATTTGGTAATGGAAATTTTGAATTTTCTTGGCAAGAACAAATAATCTTGTCTGGCTATGACATATTTGAAAATTCAAAATTCTGGCAATATAATCACAATAATGCACAAAGAAAATTATGCTGGCAATCAATAAATTTTAGTCGTGTCTCGGTTCGAGCTTGGCCCCACGTTGGGCGCCAAATTTTGTGACGTATTAATTTTAACTAATTTAATTTTAAGCTAAAAATTCTGCTTACGTCAGGCAAAATCTGACGCTTTCAACCACAATAATTTCAAATTTAAATAAATAAATTTGGCCGTCAGGCGCCAATTAATTTTCAAGAATAATTAATAAACTTTTACTCGACTAATGACAAACCGACTCCTCCGAATTTACTCTCTCACCCAGAGGAAATTCTGCTCGAACGATTGGCAAGCAGAAAATACCAACGGCGAGACACGACTGGCACAAGACTGTTAAACGACTTACCCACGACGAATCGACTCAAATTATTCCTCCAGTTGGCTTTCCTGGCCTCGTCTCCCTGGTCTCACCGACGTCAAATTTTAATCCGTGAGGGAAGTTTGGGAAAGGAAAACACAAGAACTGTCAACTATTTGTTCACTATAAATCTCAGTATTTATTATTATACAAATTTGCACTTAATGTTCCACTCTCGACACTCGAAAGCTACGGCTCGAAACAACTATTCTCTCAAAACAAAAAGAATGATAAAATTGTATTAGCGGCGAAGGATTTGCGTACCGGCGCGACAAGACAATTTTTCCACAATGGCGGCGAAAACATTTGACACCTGTAGCGTCTCGAATTTCTCCTCACATGGCTCATCTTCTTCTTCTCGTTCTCCGAAAATAGTACTGGCCCCGCCATCTATCACTTTCTCCGGTAACCAGCCGCGCGACCCACTTTCGTTACTTCTAGTAGGTCAGCCGGCGGTACTGGCTTTCTCTAATTACCATAATAACTGGGCCTGTTGGTTCGGGGCTTTTTCCGACGGATGGCGCGACGATTCAGAATTTTCGACAGGAATTTACCAAGTGAAAATTTACATCGTCACTATATATATATATATATATCCCATATAAGAAATCTGTAAACGAAAATCTCTCGAAATATCTCGAAGTATAGTAACGCCTATCCCATTGGTTGCTTTCACTCGTGAGCTATACTCAATTGGCTGAATTCATATTTTCTATCTTTGTATTTTAAACACTTGAAATAGAGAGGTTCATTCACTATACGAACATATACTTACACATTAAAATAAAAGTAGTGTGCGTAAGAGGGCTATATTCCCTTTATCCAAATCTTTTTCATCATCTTCGTCTTTCAAGTACTTAAAAAAAGAAAGTCTCAGTCTATTTCGGAAATACGTTCGTGAAAATCGTTATCTTAATTAACGCGATTCCTTCAGATATATTATTGACGTAATAAAGTGATTTAATCCAATTAAATAAATTATAAATTAATAAATTATTATTGATAAGAAATTATTTAGATAAATATAATTGTTAAATAAATTTAATTGAATTAATTTTTAAATGATTAAGTTTTATGTATTTAATTTATGTAAATAATATTAATATTTAATTTATTCTAATATAAAATATTTAAAATTGTTAAAAATAAATGTTAGAAAATGTTATGAAAGATTAAATTCAATATAAAAATTTTATACATATTTTAATAACTAATAAAATAATTAATTTTACTAATGTCTTTCATTGCAGATAATAAAACGTATATTTATGTGCTTCATCTAAGAAGTGTGTATTATCTATAAATTTAAAAAGATTAATTCTAAAAGAAATTATTAAAGAAATACATAAACCAACAGAGAAAAGAAGGTCAGAAGAAACTGACAACATTAATAATAAATAAAAGTGTTTGGTTATTAAAAGAATTTTATTATTATATAACGTTTTGAAATTAATAATAATTATATTATTGATTTAAAATAAAATATACACTACAGTCAGAAATTGTCGGTACGAACGACGGGCGAGCTAAGAAAAATTGCTGCTGAAATTAAATTAACATAGTTTATTGTTACAAAATGAAAGAAACTTGGTTCTTAGATTGTTTGAAAGCCTATTAAATTCCTTCGACTGATATATAAATAAATATTATTTTATATTTTTCAGAGATTTTATCACCTAAGATATTTAAAAAAAAATTGATTAATTTTTTAATTTTCGTGTAATATGTTTGTGTGGCTGCACAGTCTAGAAAAATGGGGAGCAAAATTAAAAACTCTTATAATATAACATAATCATTATAGACTCAGCTTTTATTTAAGTCTTTGAAATTTAAAATTTATTCAACAGTTTTTGAAATATCTAAAAAATGTCCAAGTATGTTTTTCTAAAATTTGATTTGATTCCGAATCCTCTAAACTGAATGCATATTTTCCTCTTATATATGGTATAAAAATTAATACTCTTCACTTTAGAGGATTTTTCTCTCGCATATTATTTACTAATTACGATTATGAACTTATGAAGGAAAGTTAATTTGATGCACTGAATTAAATGTTTTTAATTAAATAAATATAATTAAAAACTAATAGTTAATTACTTACAATTATTAATATATTTATTCCTTTATTTATTTCATTTGAATTCAATTTTTCTGACATTTGAACATCAAAAAATTGTTTGAAATATTGAAGTATTTTCCTTTGGAGAAGAAAACTTTAGAGGATATTAGAAGAGGATTTTTTCTTCAACTGTGAGATTACTCTTTTTAGGGTGCACGAAATTAGAAAAATTAATCAATTTTTTTCAAAATGTCTTAGGAGATAAATCTCTCAAAAATATAAAATAATATTTATTTACATATCAGTCGACGCAGAATTTAATAGGCTTTCAAACATAATATTTTTAAACATATTTTTTGTTTAAACCAAAACTGAAAATACATTATAATTAAATATAATTATTCAAATAAATAATACTTTTAAATGAAAGCAGTAGATATTTTCTGTATATTGGGATTAAACTTATAAACTAATTTCAATTACAAAATCATCTAAAATTATTTTTGTATTTGAATTAAGTATAATGTTTTCTTAGTGAAGTAGCTATCATTTTCCAATAATAAACTATGTTAATTTAATTTCAGCAGCAATTTTTCTTAGCTCGCCCGTCGTTCGTACTGACAATTTCTGACGGTATATTGTATTTTAAAATTTATTTATTATTAATTTTTTTATTATCCTACAATTTTTTGTTATAAATAAAATTATATTTATATTATAAAAAAGTTTAATAATAAATAATATATAAATAATTAATATATTAATAAGGGTGTCCAGCGGTCAGGGAAGTCAGGGAATTTTAATCAAAATCAGGTTTTAAAATTTCATAAGAAATCGATTTTTTTTTATTTTTTAAATTTTCAGTCGACCAGATACTTGAATGAGTGAATCACTTTCGTTTATTGGTTCTCTTTCATTTTTGAAATCATCATCAAAAGGCTTTTCTAATTTGGAAAACTTTGTGAAAATGATTTTAATTTTATCTCATGGGAACGCGGCTTTAGATCGTGGTTTTTTAATAAACAAATAATTAGATTATTTTATCTTTGTTTTTTAGATTTTATGTGTGTAATATTTTGTTTACAACAAAAGAAGGTTTATAATGATGATAAATAAAGTGTTTAAGTTCACTATCATAAAATTACGTTAATATTTACCAGCTCACATAATTTTTTTTGTTAAAGATTTGTTATAAAAAAAGGGAAGGGAAGAGTCAAGGGAAAGTCAGGAAATTTTTTTCTTAGTACTTGCAGGACACCCTGAATTAATTATAAAATAAATGTATATGAGTATTTTATAAGTAAATAAAATTTATTTTTGAATAAATACCAAGAACCGTTTCGAAATTTTAGTTTCGTTTTAGTTCCTGATTTTTAGTTTCCGTCATTTTTAACTGATTTTCAGTTTAATTCCACTGATTCAAATCGCGAGAATAAAGTCATTGATTCTTAGAAAAATAGGAATTTCACTGATTCTGATTTAGAGAGTAAATTTCAATAAAATTAGGCCTAATTTTCGATGATTTTGTTCGTATTACTTCATGTAATAAATGTTTTTTATAATAAACAAAATATGATCATTTATTTTATATAAATATGTCTATTTTTTATAAATTATGTTTAATTATTTGATTTTTTAATTATGTTTTGAAAATTAATTTTTCATCATCAAACTCGAAACACTGTTGGCGCGCGCAATTTGTCGTCTAGTATATATATATATATGACGGGTTCCACGTCAAGTGACCCAGGTCAAAAATTTACATGGAATATTTGAAAAATTTGTAGTTTCTTTAAAACAAAACGAAAATACGTTTTCTATTTTGGGTTTTGCTGCTGTTTTTCAACACTTTCTAATAGTGTGAACAAATGTAGAGAAAAAAAATTGTTTGACCTTGAAAAATTAAATTAAAAAATAAAATTTCATTTTTTTATCAAATGGTCAGTTTGTATTTTTTAAAAAAAAATGTTATCATAAAGGTGAGGTTTTTTCCTAAAAAAAATGTATAGGTCAAAACGTGGGACAAGAACTTTTAACTGGTCAAATTAAGCATTTACTTCTGCCGTGCACCGTCCCACAGTGGAATTTTTTTTACAATTTACTATTAAAAAATGTCTATAGCTTACAATTTTTAACCGATTTGAGTGTTCTTTGTCTTAAGTTAAAGGGGAATAAATTCTTAAGACATCCTTCGAGGCAGATTTTGGAGATTTTAATTATTTATAATTTTTTTTAAATCAAAGTTAACAAATTAATACACTTTTTTAAAAAAAGGAGGTTTATTTTCTTATTCCGTTGATGCAAATAATCTAAATCAATTTAAATTCATCCAATATGACCACCAGATAATTAATAAAGCATAAAATAATTTATTTCAATTGTTATAAACAATATATAGCCCAACAACGAGCAGGGGCGGTGGATTGCAGAAGTAACCTGGGTCACTTAACGTGGAACCCGTCATATATAGCTGGATTTGGTCTATATATATTGACCAAATCCAGCTATCCTAATATCCACCGCCATTTCGTCATTTAAAGTCAAATATTTTTCAACTAGCTAAAACAAACGCGCGTAAATACTTGCAGGGCGCAACTACCATAACATAAGAACCCTGATTATCTTAAAAATAATGTAAGAAAATAAATAAATTTTGCAACAATTTTGCAACAAATTAGTCAATTGTTAGATGATCACTATGCCAAGGCCAAGAATGAGTTTGAAAAATTTATCACTGATAAATTTGATGCTGTTTTGACCCCCTATGCAACTAGACTAAGTGAAGTTGAAAATAAGTCTAAGATAAGACTAAGTGAAGTCGATAGTCTAGAATTTAAACTTCAAGAAGTTCAAGATGTTATTGACAAACCTAGTGCGTGTTTCGATTCAGTTTCTGAAAATGCTATTTCCACTTAATGCGTGGCTGAAATAACAGATAGACAGAATAGAAGGCGAAATTTAATCATGTTTGGATATCCTGAGATTTGCGATGATGGTAAGCTAACAAAGGATTCTTTAATTAACTTAGAATCTGACCAGGTAAATGGTCTCATTAAAAAATTCCATCTATCACATGATCCGAACTCTATTACCTGCTCACGCCTCGGTAAACGTCCACAGAACCCGGCCCCTCCTCGTCCTATTCGAATAATGTTCAACAAGGAGGATACTATGTGGGATACCCAACAAG